CCACCACCAAACAACTGAGTTATTTTTACACACCGGCCAGCATCTGGCCAATCCACCACCTTTCATTGTTTATACCGTTACAAAGAAGAAAAAAAGTCACCGGGCCACCGAGCAAATGCCCAGTATGCCGGATGGCCAGTCCAGCTATGGTCATGCCAACTGTGGCACGCGAACCTAGGGTTGCCGACCCCTGATCTATACAATGGCATTTACATATATATTGCTTCTGAAATTTCTATTGGATATACTAATTAGTATTTGCTTATTTTTAGTGGATTCTTTAAGCACTTCCTGTTTTTGCACTGATGAGGCCCTGTTAATGATCGGAACCACTTATTGCACAATAACAAGTGATTACAAAAACATCAACTAAAAATAAATAAATATGAATACGGACAAGAGAATCAGGAAATCTAAACTGCAAAAACAACTCATTTTTGATGTAAAGCAGGAAACATTTGTTGTTTCATATTACCCCTGCCACAAAAAAGGCTGTACAAGCACTTTTGTAAAATGTCAATAACTATCAGTGGGACAAGCATTTAAAATGCTTTATTCATAAACGGTATAAAATACCAAACATTAAACGAAAGTTGTTTTCTTAAACTTTGCTAATTTCTAAGGATATGTTGCAAAATGTTTTATGTGTGAGTGACCTTCAAGCCTCCTGCCACAGCCCTGATCTATATTTTATGACTTTTCATAACTAAACTGGAGCACTTCCATGACCTAAAAATTTGTATTCCGTTCTAATTTGTTAATGTTGTTTCTCAGCTCGGAAGATCGGAAATAAATAACCTGGTTCACATTTGACCTGAGTTACACAAAACACACACACACACACACACACACACATGCTAAATACAACAAATGTATATACAGAAGGCAAAGTGTCTTTATGTCTGAGAAACCTGCTAAAATTTTCTAAATGGTAAATGAATTTTATGTAGTGTTTTCCTATTCATTACACAGTCAAAGTGCTTTCCATTATAAGCAACATTCACTTATGCACCCACATGTCAGTGCATCACTTTTCACTGTAAACATGGTCCAAGGACACTTGGATGTGCAGCCTGGAGTAGGGGTTATTGAACCACTAAACTTCTGAGCAGTGGGTGACCTACCCTGCCCCTTTAGCCACAGCCTGTGCAGTGGGCAGTGAGTGCATTAGGAAATGCATAGTATGCTGGGAGTATAAAGAGATCACGAGCTTTCAAAACCATTAGCAACCTCATGCAAGGGTAAATATAGGAAAAGACAGAAATAAATGTTGAGCTATTTCCCCATGCTTTTTGCAGACATTTAAGTGTATGAATAGATTCATTGCGGCAGTTTAGACATAAAGGAACTCCATAAACTGGTTTCTCTGCTTTTATCATTGTGGCATGATTCACAATCACGTCTTTTTTTCAGCACATTAGCAATTTTATTCTGATTATCTTTTCATTGTTGTAAAAACTCAGCTCTTTTCAGTGCCCCCAATGGGTTTCTTCTCCTGGGTGATTATTATATAAATCGTTTTACTTTATCACTTTGATGGGCAGCAGTGCCAAATGGTTCCCTAGTTAAAAAAGGGGATCATGATTTGAATGAGTATCTTTTCTAATAGATACCCTAATAATTTGATAATTTTATTAAGGAAACTGCCTTGTTTTTTTGTTTAAATTGGATGCCAATAGCTTCTGCAGTTCTCACGAATACAATCCAACAAAGAACCAACTGTTTTAGGGTATTTATATTCAGTTGGATCACACTGGAGGTTTAGTTAAAAACAATTTCTCCATCATTTATAAGAACATGGGGGAACAAAACTGAAAAAGTGTCAAACTAAAAGAGCAAAACTTCCTCAGCAGGAAAAGAATTAGTTGACATCAGTAAAAAAGTAAGACAGTAATTTGCCGTTTTTGTGATGCTAAGCACCTCTGCCAGGAGGCTTACTGTCAACATCTTCTCACACCAATAAGAAGTAGAGCAACTGAAAATGTTAATTATTTATCACGCAGCAACTGCAGACTACAGAAAGTGCAAGAGCAAGAAAACCACACTGAACTTGCAGAAAATCGACTTTGTGCTGAGGAAATCAAACTTCTGATCTAGAGGCCAATATGCGTTCAATTACAATAACATGGCTAATTTGAGCTGGTCAGTGTAAAGTTTCAGGTATCATATCAAGTTTCATTTTCACATAGGAAACAAAGAATAATGGGGGTCAACTGTTTCTCTTACCTGTGTGTCTTTTCCTGAGCTGCCAGCAGCAAGGTGAACTGAAACAATGGAAAAAGATTATGTTATTCCAAATAATCCAGCAAAAAGAAATAAAATATTCAAAACTGAAACAGTCTCCTTTGTGCTTCAGTCTTCACTATCTAAAAGTCGTCATACAAATGCAACGCTAAAAGAAAACAACTTGTTTATTATTATTTGTGGAAAAACAACATATTTAAAAGGTGTTTGAGGGTTTTCTTCCATTCCGAGTTGCTGCTGGATGTCTGAAAGCACACGGCACTATTTCACCATTCGAGATTATAATTAGAACCTTGAGAGCTTCTATCCAATTACATTGCCATCGATTCAGAGACAAGAAAATCTTCTCAGAAAGGTTCTCAGGATTTCAAATCAATACATCAAAAACGGCAGCGTTGCTGAGAATGAATTAATAAAGCAATTTATATTAAATTACACTGCCTTCACTCCCACATCACTCAGCTTTAAATCTGACTTTAATTAGATGATCTAACATAAAAATTGTTAAATTTCCTCTGCTGACTCACTGCACTGTGGCCATTAAAAAGGTCAACAGAGAGTTCAGATTAAAACCTAAAAGCAGCAGATATGTTTCGAGCTTCAACCGAACCACTATGTAATATCCAAAATATAGGCTCTACAGAAAAATATAACTATCTGTATTTCATAAGATTGATACAATCTCTGTGAACCATTCTGCAATAATTTGGTCAGATATTGATTCCAGCCATAGTAAGGAAACCCTTAACTAAAATTATTCAACAAGCACAAAAAGTACATTTAAATACTTCTGTCTGCAAAGCCTGGATTGAAGCTGCCAGATCAAAATGAGTGACTGCTATTATTCTTATAATGAAAACACTGAAAATAACAGTGGATGCTGACAGTTTTAAAACTATCTAAAGGGAATGAAGGGATTTTATTTTTCCTAAGGATGTAAGAGACGATCTGATTTTTACTAGTTAGGATTTATTTATGTTTTTAAATGCAAGAAAACCTGTTTATTGCTACTGTTTACAGCAGTTCACAGTTAATTTAAAGTGCTTGTGTGACAAGGACAAAATGAGACAAATAGAGAGAAGACACAAAAGATGATGCTGATGAGCTGTTAAATCAACCAAACGTGAATGACATTTAAATAATTAACAGAGAAACAAAACATTGTTTCCACAGCACGTAGTGTCTTAAAAGAAATTCCACAATGACTCAGCAGTGACTTTGTTAATTAGAAATAACATTAGTACCATTATATAATAGTGCAGAATGAACCATCATGCTCAACTTTAAGGCTAATGTGAAAAAAATTACTTAATAATGGTTTCATTTCCTGATTAAATACTTCAGATAAAACGGGTATAAATTGACATAAAAAAAAGCAAATAGATAAACGCATGTACAACAACAATGTTCAGTATAGAAAAAAAAAATCCTGGATAGCAACTTGCCACTGAATAAAGAAAAGCATTTATTTCAAACATTGTTGAACAAGGTCAAATATTTCCCTTTGGAGTGTAAAATCATGGTGCAAATAAAATGGATTTCCAGTGTGTTTCAGGCAGCTTTTGTGATGTGGTCCATGCTCATATTTCAATGAATATAAAGAATGCAATGTATTGACCAGCACTACTGACAAATCTTTGATTTTTTTAGACTATTATATTTTACAGGTAACTCTCTCTTCAAACATTTCCCACAAAAAGAGTCTGCATCTTATAGACACAGGGTGCCCAAAGAAAAAGAAAAAGGTAAAAGAAAGAAGAGGGGGAGCCTGATCGTATTTATAAAATGAGAAGCTCAAAATAAATCTTGCATAGTGGGAATCACAATTTGGATTAAACTGCCTCCTTTTTCCTTCATTATACACAAGAAGCCAGCAAAACTCAATTTTGTACACCCCCACCCCTCACATCATTACCTGATATCTGTATATCCTAAAAGCTATGTGAAGTTCACAAACATAAAGCGAGAGCCAGCAGGTATGTAGACACTACACACGACATCGTGATATTATATTCTGGTTCCTGTCGTTATTAAAAATGCAACATTTGGTATGAAACTGGGCTTCCTACAGGAATACATACAAGTTAACAATACATTCTGCTACCTCTGCTCAAAATTCCCATCTTTTCATGGCTCACCCTGGAGAGGCAGAGATGCACAGAAAGGAAGAGGGGGAATAACTCCATACATAACATCAGGAGCGGTGACTGGAGCACCTCCATCTCATTGCTTCCTCAGCCTGCATAATCAAGTCTGTTGTTTCCAACCGTGTTTTCAATTGAGCCACACTGAGATGAAGGGGCTTTGATTTCAGAAAGTCTCGAAATTCCTTTACACGATGACGGCGCTGAATGGTTTATCTTTTAAACAAGCCTGAGCAGAATATACGCTGTTGTCAAAATGACAGAACATGTCCAGTGCAATTATCAAGGAAACGCTGCACTCGGGTTTATTCTTAGGAGAATCCAAATTCAAGACTCTGACAAAGAATGTATGCAGATCCTTTATTAAATTCAAACAGGTTGAAGGGTTCTACTGAGAGCCATTTCCTGCTAATGAAAAATGGATTCATAGTAATTAAACAATGGCTTGCTTGTTTGACAATTGGTCAGTGTCTGACTTTAATTACTTCCAGCATTTAATGGGCGCTGAGAGAGCTGGGAAAAATAGAGACACCACATGAAAAGTGCTTTGAAGTAACTAAATCGTATTAACAAAGGCAGTTATTCAGGTGTATTATATTACCTTGAATGCAAATTAGCAATCAGTGTCTGCTTTAAAAGAGCTCTGATAATCACCATGTCCATGTGGGGTATTCAAAGCAACATGAGACAACTAAGGGCTTCCAAATAGACTGAATAGAGAATGCTCTGAACTGCAGCTGCAGTGGTTCAAAAAACACAGTTATTTAATTTGGCAAAAACAATAAAATCTAAAATCCTGTTAGCTTCACAGTGCTGATGTATGTGGCAGGGCTGCCATCCAGAAACCACTTCTGAGACCAGCGTGCAAACACTGCCAAGCTGAGAGCCATTAAACATGGATTCAGCTCTTACCAACCTCTTCTGAAAGGCCATCCATAGCCCTCCTGTCTACACAACAACACTACCTGGCACAAGATGTTGTAAAGTGGCTGGTAAAAAGAACAAACATTTAGGAAAATGAAACATGAGAAAAAATGCACCAATATTTGTCTTGAATAGCACAGGTGGGGAAAAACATACTGCTTTGTTTTCTAATGTTGGCCTATTTCGATCATTAAGTATCTTCAAGTTGAAGACAAAGTTAATTTTCATCCTGCTTTATTAATGTTAAATGTTTTGAAAATATCATCACAACATGAGCCAGGCCACAGCTTTTTTTATCTTCTTCTTCTTTCAGCCGCTCCCTTTAGCAGTCGCAACAGTAGATCATCTGACCCCATCACTTGCATCTTCATCTATCAGTCCAACACTCTGCATGTCCTCCTTCACTACATCCATTAACCCCCTCTGTGGTCTTTGTCTTTTACTCCTGCCTGGCAGCTCCATGTTCAACAGTACATGTCCAAACCATCAACCCTGGCTGTCTAACTTTGTGTCCAAATCACTTAACCTGAGCTGCCCTTCTCGTTTCTAATCTGCAATTAATTTCAACTCTGCCACCTACGGCTCCGCCTACTGTCTTTTTGTCACTGAAACATCTCCAAATCACACATCATATCAGGTTTCTGTACAATTTTGTAAACCTTCCTTTTCATAGTTTCTGCTATCCTTCTGCTAACGACTGTGTGACTGCAGCTCAGTACCTGGAATCTACATCCAAATCCCATCATACCGTTTAAGTCCACTACCAACATCCCCTGATGAACTTCTGTTGGTAAGATCAGTTTTGCCATTCATATCTAATAGATGGGTTGGAGTCAGGGTTACTTCACAGCAAATTAAAAGAACGAATTATAAATATGACAAATGTTCGGATCCCTTTCTACTTTTTCTTTTCCCTCTACATTAAAAATCTGATCCCTTCTGGTTTCCTACTTGTGCGGGCAGACTTTGGCGTTGATTGCGTCTAGGGGTGGTCAATAATGCCTCAAAATTATATCACGAAACTTCAAGAAATTTTGTGATAATGATATTTCACACACAAAAAAAACAAAAACTGCACAACATTTTATCAATGCCTGCACCTTGCAGGCAGCAGCATTTATGAGTGCAAGTAAATGAAGTGCATTCTCTACCCTTCTTTTCCAATGAGTTACTGTCACTGATGACAGACTACCTAATTTGAAGTGTGAATTCATTGAAACAAGGTCCCAGCAGCAGCAGTATTATAGTACAATAGAGGTGACTCATCATGAGTCAAGTGTAAGCACAAAAGTAGTGTTTCCCTTGGAATTTAAAATAAAAGTCTAAAATAAAAATGTAAAATAACTTCTTAGCACTAGTTTAACAATAACTGAAGAAATTTCACCTTGCTTGATTTATTGCTTGTCAACTGTTTGAACTGGTATCATATACTTGGCCAAACTATATGGAACAGCATCAGTAATTTCCTTCCACCATCTTCTCTTCCTGTCACATAAATTGCAGCTAACAAGAGCAGCTAGCGATGCTTGGTTGAGTCATTCGTTTAAATTTGAGTCGCATATCACCACCTGTTAGTTTTTGCCTCTAATGGGGAAACAAGCTTGTTGTTTCCACCCTCGGTGGGAATGGGGACAAATGGCTGCTGGCAGTTGCTACAGTGGGTGAAATCAGTCACAAAAGGTTATATGTTGGTGCATCAAAAACCTGTTTTGCAGATATTTCTGTCACTGGTGGAGTTTGGACACAGGTCGATCTGCTAGTGACCAAGGCAATCACAAGGAGGTTTTTGATGCAGCAACCTCTTTCACCTAGTGACAGTCAGCAACCACTGGGGCAGCACATCAAGGGCTGTTATGATGAATTTTCATCAGTAATGATCAATAATAACCCCAGGCTGACGAAAACTTATCATAACTTATACGTGAGGTAAGATGATTTCAGGATGCCAGCAT